ATGTTTTACATAGCTTAACCCAGGTAGAACCTTTTCGCCTAGGGGGATCCAGCTCATAGTTCTGGTAGAAGTACTCTTCGCTCACGATAGTATACATAGCTTAACCCAGGTAGATTCTTTTCGCCTAGGGGGATCCAGCTCATAGTTCTGGTAGAAGTACTCTTCGCTCACGATAGTATACATAGCTTAACCCAGGTAGAACCTTTTCGCCTAGGGGGATCCAACTCATAGTTCCGAGTAGAAGTACTCTTCGTTCAGGATGTTTTACGTAGCTTAACCTAGGTAGAATAATTTCTCCTAGGGATCTAGCTCATAGTTTCTGGGTAGAAGTACTCTTCGCTCACGATGTTTTATGTAGCTTAACCCAGGTAGAACCTTTTTGCCTAGAGGGATCCAGCCCATATTTCCGGGTAGAAGTACTCTTCGCCTAGTCTCCTTTTCCAACATAAGGTCTCCACTTCCTAGTTGATTTTTATTTTTAGATATAGGGTCTCCACTCCCTCGTCTTCTTTTTAACATAGGATCCCCACTCCCTAGTTGATTTTTATTTTAGATATAGGGTCTACACTCCCTAGTTTTCTTTTCCAACATAGGGTCTCCACTCCCTAGTTAATTTTATTTTAGACATAGGGTCTCCACTCCCTAGTCTCCTTCCCAACATAAGGTACACCAATCCTTAGTTGAGATATCTTTTTGACAATAAAGGAACACCATTCAAAAAAACAAAAAGAGTCATTATGATCTTTTCAGGGTACACTATTCCTGGCCTTTTATTGCTTTCAATAAAGAAATTTTCCTAGTGCAAAGTGGGGCAGAACAATTTCGTTTGTTTGTTTGTTTTGGTGTCTGAGCAGGTTTTACCTCGAGGCATAGGGTTCGAGACAGCCAAAAGAAGAAGTCCTAATCCAGAATAAAAAAAAGAAGAAGAATAAGTGAACCCAAAAAGTAGAAGCGGATGAAAAGACGTGGACTGCTCCAGACATGACTAAAACCACAAGCATCACATCTCCCATTTAGATCAGAAAAGTCGTGGACGAATGAACGAGCTCTACAGCTAGCAAGCATCAAGGTTCAAATCAAAAATGTGCAAGAAGAAACATTCAAGACACAAGATCAAGGTTTAGAAGACTTATAGATAGGAATCTTGTAACTCATAGCTGATAGGCATGTTTAGCTTATTTTTCTTTTGATTTTGACGTAATAGCAGGACCACGGACCGGAGCCTCGATGGAACCTCACTCGACTCTCCAACTCATCATTCCATCATTTTCCTTGAACTACACACTACCTGATTCCCCTATAACCCGGAATATGTAGACTGTCTAAAACTAGGACTCGGTTACACTCTTTTCTCTTATCTCTTCCCTTTTGAATAATGGTATGGCAAAAAATTAGTCATATCGCTTATCTTTTCTTTACCTGAAAACTCTTCATGTTACCAAGCAAAGATGGGCATGCTGTGAGCACTTAAATTTTGACCATGCTTGGATTTTTTCCAACTCTCTCACGTCACTTAACACACACCTTACCACCATACAATTATTCCCTCACAACTCACATGGACACTCACAAAAAAGGGAGCTTCATCTCCACCCTGAAAACCAACAAAACCCTCTATATAATTGCTGCAAAATATCAGTCATGAAGTAGAGGAGAAACCGGCAAATAATGAGCTGCAAATCCAGCCCCAAAACTCCCTCAAAACAGCTCAAAAACAAGCTAAAAACAGCCCACAAAATGAGCTGAAAACCAGTCCACCCACAACTACCGATAACCCCCCAAAACAGCCCCTTTTCTCCAGTTAAACACCCCCAAAAATAAGCTGGAAATCCACCCCAAACCCACCTGAAAACAACCTTGAAACGGCCATAAAAACCAACTGAAACTTCACTCGAACCCATAACTGAAACTAGCCATGAAACCACCAAACTTCAGAGCCACTAAACAACTCCAAAAACAGCTTTAAACCACCTAAATCTCTTCCCGTCTTCATCGGTCAGGCAAGGCTTCTATGTCGAGGTTCCGGTTCGTAATTTCGGCATTTTCGTCCAACGAATGTTGAATTGTTATTTCGGTTGAGTTGCAAATTTTCAGCTTTATTCATCAATATAAAGGTCCATTCGAATCAATTTTTCCCAGTATTTGTTTACATTTTTAGTATACACTTGCTTTGATATATTAGTGTTTCTATCTGCTCGTGATGAATTTCATTTGCTCTCTGGAAAATACTTGATCTCTTTCGTATTGTTTGTGTTTAGATTGCGTATTATTTGGTTTATATATTTTTTTTAAAGATTAATTCATTTGAGTACATGTAAGTTTGTTTTGGACGATTTCTGTTAAATATGCTATGGACTTTGATTTAGTTTTCTTACTTATATGGTTATGTTACATTTCTTTTGTTTTAACATGTTGAAGTGGTGATTTAAGTGAGTTTGTTAAATTGGATAGATGGAAAATTAAAGTTGTTTCTTTCTTAGCAAGAAATTAGAATAGGCCATGAGTGGTGTTAAGTCAGAAGAATGTATAACTCTTAAGCATCACAATAATCCCAAACTTAGAAAAACAATTTTTGAGTACGTTAGAGTACTTTAAGCGCGCCCTAAATTAATCAAATCATCGTAGTTATGTATATGTTTGCGTGACATAATTACGATTTTCAAAATTAAAACCGAAGTACGTGTTCGCGCAACTTTGGCCAAAACTATCTCTATATAATAAAATGCTATTAATTGTGTACACATACGCGTGACATGATTTTGGCACAATAAAAAAAACGAATTCACACACGTGATTCGTTTCAAAGATAATTCCATGTTTGAATAATTAAAAGCGGATAGATAAAATATGGAAACCAATAAATCACAATTTATCCAAAAATTAATTCAAGCCAAGTTGTAGTCAATAAAGCGACCGTGCTAGAACCACGAAACTCGGGGAATACCTTACACTTTCTCCCCGGTCAATAGAATACCTTAACCGGACTTTGTTTTTGCAGACCAATAATAATAGAGTCAAACCTTCCTTTGACTAGGGATTCAAATCAAAGGTGACTTGGAACACCCCAAAGCTCAATTCCAAGTGGCGACTCTGTAAGTAAAATAATCCCTACTCAAGTTTGTCATTTTAATTGGAAAAACTCTTTAACCCAACCCATATAACACATATCTTTTTTTTTGGGGGGGGAGGGGGGGGNGTGATTGAAAAAACCTCTTCCAGTCAAGTGGGCAAGGATAAAGAACTCCTTGAGTCTTCATTTGCCGAGCAACTGTCTAAAGCTACCGAAGAAATTAGGGGTCTGAAAGAACTACTTAATCAGAAGGAAGTCTATGCCGAAGAGCTTGTTCAAACGCTCACTCAGGCTCAAGAAGACCTCCGTGCATCTTCTAACAAGATCCAGTTCTTAGAGAGATCACTCGCCCCTTTACAAACTTCTTATGATGCTGCTTTGACTTAAAAAGCAGAGTTGGAGGCCGAAGTTGAGCAATGGAAGAGGGATTATGAGGCCCTTGAGGATAAATCAACTCTTGATGTAAGCTGGACTTTCTTGAACACGCGACTCGAGACTTTGATGGAGGCTAACCAGGATGGTTTTGACTTGACTGCTGAGATTGCAAAAACTAAAGAAACCATAGAAAAAACTCAGCAGAGTCAAAACATTTCTTCACCTGAGGTCGGCCTTCCCGAGGGTGATGAACTTAGTCCTGGTGAAGTTAGTGTTCAAATCTCTCCTGCTCAAGTCGAACCTTCTGCTGCTGATGATGATGCTATCTTGACTTCTCCCGCTACTAATAGTACTACTTTAGAATCTGCCCCATAGTGAACTTGTGTCTGGAAAGTTTATTGTGTTTGTTTGTTTTATTATTATTTGTGGAATGGTTGGTAAGCTTTACCCCTAATCCATTTTGGGGTTTAATATCAAATACTTTGGTTTGAACTAAGTTTACACTTAGTTTTAACCGGGTTTATATAATATTTCATTTTGAGTTTCTGTTCTGCTCTTATAATATTTAATTTTGAGTTTCTGTTCTACTCTGCATTTAAAAATGCTTCAATACTCCATGGCTTTTTGAACAAGCACGAATTATAAAAGAGGGCCCTTTTATAAACGACACTTAATGAAGAAGACGTCTCAACTTCATAATGGTGTAAACATACGAAAGAAGAAATAGGAACATACATGTTTCTTTGAATAACTTTGAGGAAGTTTTGTATCATTCGAACTTTCAAATTGTATAATACTTTAGATTTTGTAACTATTTTCTTAACTATTTCAAATTGTATAATACTCTTTCGTAACTATTTTCTTTACAATAGATTTTGTAAAATTTAAGGGTATATCTTGCACCCTATGACTAAATATTGCCTTTAACCTAAACATTCGTAAGATTTTGGAATTTACATCTACGAGTGTATTCTTCATAGGTTTTTGAATCAGGCTTGCGTTTTTGGCTCTTTATTTTGCTCTTAACTTTCGATTTGTTGGGTAGATCATAGGCTTGACTTGAATTCTGACTTTTCCAGTCTTCTTTACCTTCCTTATATATACATATATATATATTCCCCCAAGTGTTTAAGCTTTGAAGTATGAAATCTTGAGCACTTGATTATTCCTTCCATGTGGTCCATTTCCTGTAAAGGAAAAACATACGGGACTCGGAGGTATATATAACTTAGATGATGACTGCTTAACCCTTTATATTTCCATCAGAAAGGTTGCAACCCTAGACCGGGAATAATGTTGCTTCCGTGTGTCCTTCATTTCTAATATCATCATTTGGTGTGGGCTAGCTTTTTGCCTATCATCTAAAATTGTTAGTATAATTTTAACTGTACAAAATAAAAATCGTAATTGAACGATACCTGGCCGTGGGTATTTCTTTTGCTCAGAAATAGTATTTCTTTAAATGAACAACATTCCAACTCGAGGGTAAAACTTTGCCATCCATGGTTTCTAACTCGTAGGCACCTTTTCCAGCAATACCTCGAATTTTATAGGGTCATTCCCAATTTGGATTTAACTTTCCTTCTCCGGCTGTTTTCGTTGATTGAAAAACCTTTTTAAGAACAAAGTCCCCAATTTTGAAGTACCTGAGGTGAGCCTTTCTGTTGTAGTATCGTTCTATGGTTTGCTTTTGTGATGTCATTCGTATTAGAGCTGCTTCTCTTCTTTGTTCGAGTAAGTCCAAGTTTGTTCTTAAATCCTCATCGTTCGATTCTTCCATTGCCAATGTGAATCTCGTGCTTGGTTCTCCTATTTCAACTGGGATTAAAGCTTCTGAACCGTACACAAGTGAAAATAGAGTTTCTCCCGTAGCTGTTTTTGTTGTGGTTCTATATGCCCATAATACTCCTGGTAATTCTTCAGGCCAATTCCCTTTTGATTTTTCTAGTCTCTTCTTCAAATTATTGATGATAATCTTATTTGTTGACTCAACTTGTCCATTTGCCACGGGATGGTAAGGTGAAGAGGTTATTCGTTTGATTTGCCAACTTTGAAAGAACTCCATGATTTTCAAGCCTATAAATTGTGGGCCATTATCACATACGATTTCTTTTGGAACTCCAAACCGGCATATGATGTTCTGCCAAATGAAGTCTTTCACCTCCTTTTCTCGTACCTGTTTGAAAGCTCCTGCCTCTACCCATTTTGAAAACTAATAGGAACCATACCTTACCTTTAGCTTGTGGTAAAGGCCCTACTATATCCATTCCCCATTTCATAAATGGCCAAGGGGAAATAACTGTATGTAATAACTCTGTAGGTCGATGCATATTGTTGGCATATCGTTGGCACTTATCACACTTGGCTACAAAATTTTCCGCATCTTCTTCCATTTTAGACAGTGGTATCCTGCCCTGATTAGTGTTTTAACTAAAGATCTTCCACCTGCGTGATTTCCGCAATGTCCTTCATGTATTTCCCTCATCACGTACTCTGTTTGATTGGATCCAAGGCACCTTGCTAAAGGACCACCAAACATTTTGCGATATAAATTGTCTCGAATTAGGCAGTAACGAGCAGCTTTCCATAGAAGCATTTGAGATTCTTTCTTGCCTTCATGTACGATCCCGTACTGCAAAAAATTAACAATCTCGTTTCTCCAATCCCAGGTTAAATTATTAAAGCTTACCTCGTGTTTATCATGGTCAAGTGCTGAATGAAATAAATGGATTACAATAGAATTTTCCTCACTCGTTACTTCTGTAATTGAAGCAAGGTTAGCCAACGCATCTTCTTCAGCGTTTTCTTCCCTGGGTATTTGCATAATCTTCCATGATTGCAATTGCTTGACCAGTTCTCGTGCCTTTTCCAAGTATTGTTGCATTCGTAGCTCTCTAGCAGTGTAAGTCCCATGCATCTAATTGAATACTAGTTGAGAGTCACTTTTAATCATGATTTGCTCTATGGAGAGTTCTCGTGCTAGTTCCAAACCTGTAATTATAGCTTCATACTCTGCTTCATTGTTAGTAATTTGGTAACATTTAATTGCTTGTCTTATACTTTCACCTGAGGGTGGGATTAAGACAATACCTAAACCGACTCCTTTGATATTTGAAGAGCCATCAGTAAATAAAGTCCATGTACTTGGATTAGCTCCAGTAAAAATTTGTAATTCCTTTTCTACTTTTGGAATTCTTTTTGTATTAAAATATGCGACGAAATCTACTAAAACTTGAGATTTTATTGATGTTCGAGGTTGATAAATAATGTCATATTCACTTAGTTCTATTTCCCACTTGGCTAGTCTGCCTGACAATTCTTGTTTATGCAAAATATTCCTTAATGGATATGCAGTTACTATGGAGATAGGATGGCATTGAAAATATGGTCTCAATTTCCTAGCTGCCATGATTAATGTTAAAGCTAGTTTCTCTAGATGAGGATATCTAGTTTCAGCATCCAATAAAGTTTTACTAACATAATAAATAGGAAATTGTTTACCTTTGTCCTCCCTTACTAAAACTGCATTTACAGCTACTTCTCTAACTACAAGATATACAAATAGTCTTTCTCCATCCCTTATTTTAGACAATAGGGGAGGATTTGTTAAGTATGCCTTCAAATCTTTGAGGGATTGCGGCATTTTTCAATCCATTCAAACTGATTTTGCTTCTTCAAAACTGAAAAGAATTTAAAGCTTTTTTCTGAAGATCTTGAAATAAATCTTCCCAGAGCTGCAATCCTACATGTCAATCTTTGTACTTCTTTTTTGCTTGTGAGTATATTAGGCATTTCTTCAATAGCCTTAATCTGTGCAGGATTTACTTCAATTCCTCTATTAGACACGAGAAATCCTAGAAACTTACCTGAAGCTATGCTAAAAGCGCACTTTTCTGGGTTCAGTTTCATACCATATCCGCGGAGGATCTCGAAGGTAGTTGAAAGATGTTGAAAGTGATCTTCCGCTTGTGTAGATTTGACCAACATATCATCAATGTACACCTCCATCGTCTTGCCCTGGTGTTCTTGGAACATTTTGGTCACCAACCTCTGATAGGTGGCTCCAACATTTTTCAAGCCAAAAGGCATGACTTTGTAATAATAAGTCTCCCTATTTGTAATAAATAAAGTTTTTTCTTCGTCTAAGGGGTTCATTTTTATTTGATTATAACCAGAATACGCATCTAGAAAGCTTAATAATTCGTGACCTACGGTATCATTAATCAATTGATCTATATGCGGTAAAGGGAATGAATCCTTTGTGCATGCTTTATTTAAGCTAGTGTAATCCACACAAACTCTCCATTTAACGTTCTTTTTCGGAACTACCACAGTATTAGCTAACTAATTAGGATATTTTACCTCGCGTATTGAATCAATCTTTAAGAGTTTCTGTACCTCTTCATCGATCACTTGATTTTTGAATGATCCTTGCTTCCTCTTCTTTTGTTTGACATGTATGAATGATGGATCTTCATTTAATTTATGAGTCATCACCTCCGGAGGTATACCTGTCATATCTGAATGGGACNNNNAAGGAGCCTTGCTTCCTTTTCTTTTGTTTGACAGGTGGGTATGATGGATCTTCATTTAATTTGTGGGTCATTACCTCCGGTAGTATACCTGTCATATCTGAATGGGACCAAGACAAAACAATCCGTGTTAGCTTTTAAATATTCAATTAGCTTACCTCTCCTATTTAGGTTTAACCTTGCTCCAATATGAATTCTTCGATCTGGCCATTGTTCGAATAGTGGAACAGCTTCAAGCTCCTCAATTGTTGTTTTAATGTTTTCATTCTCCTCTGGCTCTTGAATTACATCTGGTCTGGAATCCACGTCTGTTT